CTAGGTGGCGGACAGATTGCAAACTTGACTTACAGAATTCACTTTGCACTAAACAAAGGATTAAAGACATTACACTAGTTACTAAGGTTGCAGATACGCCCTGCTGATGAGTGCCAACTAGCACGAAACCTAGGTCTAAGGTTTCCTGTGACCGATTGCCTCCAACTATCGAATAACATCATAAATAACTGGATTATCTACTTATATTCAGCAAGATGCCACTTTGAATACTTGAAATAATAGAGAAGATTTGTAACTCAGGTGGATGATTTGCAATTAATAGTGTTCTCTGAGCTGGTTGGTTTAGTTGTGGAGCTTTTGTCGTCTTTCTGAACGATATCTTACTAATTGCTAACTACTAATTTACTACTGTCTCTTGTTTTCAGTCTTTGCCAACTATGATACTGAAACTGTTACAATACGATGGTTCAGATTGGTTTGTTCCTTTCAGATTGACAATTGAAAATTCAGTCTATAACACATTTTCATTCATAATCCTATTTTTTTCGTTCTTTGCAAGTCGAACTACAATTCACTAACATTTATTCATTCAATATAATATTTGTCAGTAGTGCAAGTGTGTTGATAAAAAAAACATTGAGAAAAAACAACAAATAAACAAAACTAAAGTACACTTACCTGATATTTTTTCATAATAGTTGATTGTTATTTAACTAGTTAAATATTTATGTAAATTTTCAGTAAAATTCATTGCGTTTGTGATACACAAGTGTTATATGTAGATTGTAACTGAATTACCTGATAACTAATGTAGATACTACCTTGTATAATTGTGATAAAATATTTAAATTAGCAAGTAATCAATAATCCCTTCTAAATATTATCTAATATACACAAAGTCTATCTGTGTAAGAAAATATGAAAGCCAGAATTGAATCAGGAGAGCAAGGCAAGCGCTTTTATAACTGTGAAATCAGTGTGGAGATCAACAGTACTCACTAAAAGTAACAAGATCCGAATTTCTGACACTGATATCATACCAGTGTTTGACACATTTCTAACAAGTTATAGGCTTTATATCAGCATTTACCTTCACTGGCTAGATACTGTAATGATACCGAATGACTACCCACAAATATGCAGTGGAAAATAGAAATAGACTGTACCTACCTTCAGGAGATAATCAAGTAACATAAGACGTCAGTTCCTTGAGTGGCACTCTAATGAGAAGCGAAGAATTGGGTATCGGAGAGTGACATGAAGGAGACCACGTGGAGAGGAAATGGAAGCTCGTAGACATTCATGAAACAAGATGAAAATGACTACAGAGAAAAGAGTGAAGTGAAGATGTACTTTTGAAGCCTTATGTTCCACTCAGGAAATTGAAATTTTCTTATATTCCTAAAGTTGAATACAAGAACACCCAAAAAGTTAACTTCCCACTTGTGTTTTGATTTTTAGTAATTAGAAGAAGAGGAAAGTATACGCTTTGGGGCTCAAATAAAAATAAATGATCTGAAGTTACAAAATATTACTAATAATCATCAAAACCCCGAAAATATTTTTTTGAGTATTTTCTTACTTCTTTAAGTAAACACTGCGAACGCATTACATTTTTATTCCCTGACCTGTCTTATCTAAGATTCTTTTCAGAATAAACTAAACATTAGTAAGTTAAATATAGGGCATGATCGTTGATTACTCGTATTTCTGAAATCATTCTGGAAAACGGTATATTTCCTGATAGCATAAGCATTGCTTATTGCTTATTCCCCACCTCACACATCAGTCAAACAGCTTCTTTCGTTAAGATACTCGTTTACGTAGTCTTTGATTGTGACATTGTTACATATAACCATGGAGTGTATGGCTGAGGTTTAAGTTAAAAATCACTGGTTAAACTGCATTATTAACACTATCTAACACCACTTGTAAAAACATCCAATATTTTCCCCTTGTTTTCGTAATGTTCATATTTGTTTGATGTAACTCTCTATCTCTTCCGACCGTTTTTATATGCTGACTCAAGTTTCTACAGTATCGATGTATCTGTTTTATTTAACTGATCGATTAAGTAGAAAAAATTCTGTGTCCCGGAAAAAAAAACATCTAACCATTTGTAATACAGTCCTTTAGATTTGTCGTCATATTGAACTAACAGTTTTTGATATCTAATATTATCACTAGTGTCATAAGTCACTAGGTATATGCATGTATAATTGATGCCAGCACCAAAAGCACCAAAAGCAAGAAGAGTAACTAGCAACAGAAGTAATACCTCTTCTTTTTAGCGTTATTCCGCTTACTGCAGCACCTATTCAAGTGTTTGCTTTAAATGAAATCGGGTACATTACTGATGAGTTCATCCCTAGACGGAAAAAAATGACCTTCTGGTGTTTAGATCACTGAAGTGTGACTAGTGTTTGTTGTGAGTAGTTTCAAACCAGTCACATTAATCTGCAGTGCGTAATTTTGTTTACGTGTTAAGAACATCATTTTTTTATCATCTGAATACTTTAGGCTTTCAAAGAAAAACATAGTGAATTCTCCCCTGGAACTGTTTAACCTGGAAACAGTATATCTAAATTTATTAATAACTGCCGCTAATTGTATTCAGTACATACTGCGCAACACAATATATAAAAAAGGAGAAGTGTGAACCATGAGTTAATAAAATCTTAGAATAATTCAAAGCTGAAGAAAATATAGCTCCTCTAAGTTTAATAGTCTAATTAGAGGTGAAGGTAATTTCGTATAAGGCGTATTATTAAGATTTTTCAGCTTAGATATTGAAGACTTATACAGAATTTGGGTTGCCTTTAAGGAAAGCGTATAAGTAATACTTCCCTTGTATATCCAAACCGGAGAATTCATACTAACAGCAGCTGTCATTTTCAAAGCATTATATGTTGAACTATACTACCTGCCATCATTATTTCTTTGCGTTCTGAATGGAAAATAGGACTTCAAGCTAGAGGTATGAAGTTTCTGTAGTGGTGGTTTTATTTTTACGATGTGGTTGCCATTCTCACGTTCAACATCTCCTCTTTGCAGGGCCAGATAAGGGAGGTTTAGGAGTTCGTTGACAGAGGATGTAACTCTGGACTTCCCCAAGTGGCTGGTGAGCATTCTCCATCTACGCCACTAATGCAAAAGTAAAGGGTGCACCTGGGTAAATGTAAAATTATGTATAGGCAAGAATTTGCGAAGTTTGTACAAAACGATGATAATTTGAAGTATTGTTGTTCATGGGTATCAGGAGATTCGGGGGAATCAAAACTACTACAGATCAGTCATTTTTCAGTATTACTATACCCAGTCGGCTTTCCAAAATAACAGTTTTGCTTGATGTTGTACTAATTTGTGAAAAATATGAGAAATGGTGAGATTAAAGTGTGAAGCATGTATAAAGTCTCAGGCTGTTGATGTGATTCATATGACAAAGTGCATTTCGCCTGCGTGTGCCTGACTGACCGACCTACCGCCATTCGAGTTGGCGTACATATAAATGTGGAGAAAAAAACATAATGATATTAAAATAAATGGAAATGAAGATACTACATAAGTATTAGTGAAGATTTTCAGGTTTTGAAAGACAACAAGGAATGAATTCATCTGATCTGCCGAGAACAACTTCGTCCCACATCACCAAGAGTCTGAATCCATTGATTCTGATCATTTATAGGACGTCAGACAGGAGTCCTACACCTCTGTATGTCGTTCATATCAACGAACACAGACTTCATGGATTGATGCTTTGTCTTGATTCGACCACTGTAACTTAATCCAACTTCAGATTACACTGACAGTAAAGTAGCACAAGACTGTTCACAGTGCAGCATTATGTATTCACCTTCTATAACTTTCAAAACTATGACTATCTTTTACCAGTGATTATTTAATCATTCATTCTCAGATGGAATTCATATTATTTTAATCTTGGCAAAATCCCTTCTGTGTAATTTGCTTAGAATTTGACTACTTGGACTGGATCAACTTTAATACAAGGGTTGATGTTGATTTACTTCGTCTCTTTAAAAGATTATTTGGCTCCACCATATGTTTTATATTGTCTTTTTTTCTTACAATTGCATAACGTTAGTGGCTGAAGAACATTCCAAGGTGTTATTTATTTGCAAAAATCTCTTCTTCACTTTACTGGTGTAATAAATGCTTTAAACTGGGGCAATTTTTGTATCTAAGTAACGTAATTCTATTGATTACTTTAACTTGTATAGAATAATCATGTCTCTTGTGCCATCTCCAGTTGTTTCATGCAAATTCAAAGAGTACACATGTGTGTACTAAGACTTTTAAACTATCTGTTGTATGTTTTGTCTGCGTAGATCAACCTTTTTTTTATAATAAATTCACTTTTTCTACAGCTTTCTAATTATGTATTGCATTCATTCGTCATGATCTGCGTACTTTTTCACTATTATCCAAGTTAACTTCTTAAAGCTCAAGATTATTTCGCCTTCTCGAGGTATACACGTTTGTCTCCGAAAGAAAGCCATGAACTGTACACACCTTAAGGTTTTTCAAACCATTACATTCATTAGATTACAGGAATAATTTAATTTTCCATCAACAAAATATTTCGACAACAGACCAAACCAGTTAAATTAAAATAATAATTTTTGTTCAAATAGAGTTTCATTCTTCCAGTTGTTTTTGTCAAGTTTTAGCAGCTCATTGCACACATGTTAAGTATTAATCAATTACTGCGCATATGATCACAGAAAAGCCAATATGTCAAATATTTTAGGTCAGTTAAATTGTTGATTAAATCAGTTGTAATTGTCTATCAGACAGAATATTTATTTATTATATTCCATCATTGGCAAAACTGGTGAAATATTTCTGGTTGAATATTATTCTCATGGTTAAGCAGTTTAGTACAATTTAAGAAAATGCCAGAAGCCTGCAAAAGCCATGTGAACAATTCTCAAGTGACCTTCAAAAATTCAAATTATTAGCTCAATCGACTAATGATATGGGTAAACTATCAATTAAATTTAATGTGGCGCCAATCAGCTGTGATTTTTTAGCTCTGCATATTAACTTCTAGTTAATTAAATTTTTCAGAATTTTACAGGTCAAAAATTGACAAACATTTTGAACACCTAACATTATTTGATAACACAGTTAGTTCATTCGACGCACACACTCAGCTGATACCAAGGTCACAGGCTGAGTATAAGTCTCCAATCAAAATTGAGCGAGGCTTACTAGTGAGTTCAACTTTCTATCGAGTTGTGCGCATAGTTTCGGCTAAAGTGCACACATAGACACACATACAGTTAATCAAAATAACCATTTCTCTGGCCATTTACTGTGATTTGTTATTATTTTCATTATGCCAGTATCTGATGTTAATCAAACTGCCGTCAGCCTGACAAACTTAGAAATCAAAGATATCACGAGTTTACAGTTAAACTTGCCACAGAGTGTAACCACACTTACAAGATCGACAAAGAATTCCACAATGTCTGCATCAACAAACGTTCTAGGAAAACAAGGAAATCAAAATGCCGCCGCACTTTCTGCTGAAGAAGCAATTGTTAATCTACTTGAACGTACAAAATATACTTATGTACAAGAGAATGGTCAACGACGTTATGGACCTCCTCCTAACTGGAAAAATGAAGCTCCTCCAAGAGGCTGCGAAGTATTTATCGGAAAAATTCCTAGAGACTGTTTTGAAGATGAACTTATACCCGTATTCGAGAAGATTGGACCAATTTACATGTTTCGACTAATGATGGAATTTAACGGAACGAATAGAGGATTTGGATTCTGTGTGTACACAAACAGGGAAGATACAAAACGTGCAGTTCAAGAATTGAATAATTATGAAATCCGTAAAGGCAAAACCATTGGGGTGTGTCTGAGTGTGGATAACTGTCGTCTTTTTGTCGGGGGTATACCCAAGAATAAAACAAGAGAAGAGATTCTATCAGAAATGAAAAGAGTAACAGAAGGTGTTAAGGATGTTATATCATATCCAAGCGTAACTGATAAAACGAAAAATCGTGGATTTGCATTTATTGAATATGGAAGTCATAAAGCTGCGGCAATGGCAAGAAGAAAGTTGCTTCCAGGACACATTCATTTATGGGGTCAGCAAATAGCTGTTGACTGGGCAGAACCAGAACGAGAAGTTAATGAAGATATAATGTCAAAAGTGAGTTACTCTTTAAAATTAATTTTGTGATAATGGTTACATAGAACATAATCATTTCCGTAATATAAAATTAATACATTGACTTTACTTTGTCATACATACGTAATTTGAGTACTATCGAAGTAGCCAAGCAGTTGTGAGCTAAGCTACACAGCTCTTATGCCAGATGTGAACTATGCGCCCACAAATATAACTGCAGAACTCTTAAATTACCCCATATTTTAACAAATATTCCTAGGGGTTTGGCTTAAGCACAGTTAGTGGTACCTTCAACAGTTAAACTATTAAGATATTTAATTTATTGTAAATGAATTTATTTTCATTTTTAACCTTGAAGTTATTAAAATGATGTTGATTTGGAAGAGGATTAAATAAAAGCTGTGTACAACTCAGTAGGCAACAGAAAACTCCATGAGTTAATTAATATTATTGGTGTGATTAATCTATCCAAGAAAAATTATTCAGTATTTTGCTAATTTCCGCGTAATTTGAATATACCTTAATTCTTGTTCTTCTATTATTGCAGGTAAAAATTCTATACGTTCGTAATTTAATGTTATCAACAACTGAAGAGAGTCTTCGTGATTCATTTATCAGAGCTGCTGGTGGTGATGCTAACAGTGTTGAAAGAGTGAAAAAGATTAGCGATTACGCCTTCATCCATTTCAGGGAACGTGAACAAGCTGCACAATGTTTACTTGCTCTAAATGGTAAGCAATGGCTATTTGATAAGTACTGTGTGTTATGCACCTTTACAAAGATATCTTATATTTAAGTGAACATTTAAGGTATTCGATAATATTAGATCAAAACAGTATAGAGGCAGTATAAAATTTATCTCTTCATTTGAATTTAATTATTCACTTCAATAGACTATATTGTTACATGATAAAAACAGTTTTACTAATTGTAGGTAGTGCGAAAACTTTTTTGTGAAGTTCAAAGGCAAAATCTCCTTCAGTTTCAAAAATGTAGTGTTATGTTTCTTATAATATTGGTCAATTTTACTTTTGAGTTCTGTGGTAATTGTTCTTACGGTTGTCCAACACATAAAAAGGTAGATTCCTCTTGAAATAAGAAGTCTCTAACCACCATAGCATGCAAAAAGAACGATTTATAGTGACAATTACAGGAACTTGTGGCGATTTTATATATTTCAGCTTAGATTTCCCATCTAGATGATGAATTCGAAATAGAAGGATATGCACATATTCTGGATGCCATTGCTAGTCACCATCCACCGATTGACTTTAACTTATGACGATTATTCAAGTTTACGATGAAGAGGTGTGTACCTAATCATCCCTGGCGTCTTATTTTTAAACAAGAATCACCAGAGGTTTTGGATTATGTTAAGTTCCTCTCTACTTATCTACATATAAGCTATCATGAATCTAGGTAATCAAGCGTAAATGCTACACAAAATTCACAGTTATACTTGGTAGATTGTCATTTATTAATTATTTTATTCCTTTAAGTTCCCAGTGGCTTCAAGCTAGAGCGTTGAAGTAGCTATGGTATTTATTTTTAGGGGAAAAGGTTGCTAGCCTCATGCCTAACTTCCTCTCTTTACCACTTTTACTCCTGGCTTAGCGAGGTAAAGGAGTGAGTCGACCGGGAATCGAACCCAAAACTATCTGTGCGGTCGGCGAGCATTCTACTGCTGTGCAGCCGACGCAATAATTAACAAACTGCAAGAGTACCTTACCTTAACTTCTACATCAAGAAGTTAAGATATTCTGGTATAACCCAACCCTTACTACTACAATTCGTTAACTCTTGCATCCTGCCTATTATTCCCAATTGTTCCCCTTTAGTATTTTCAGGGCTACTGAAGAAAAACTATACCTTATTACGCAGGATGGAAAGGGTTGTCAGCAGGGTAAGAAACGTGCCACTTAACCAGTTTGTTAATATTCTGGTGGACAGGCACACGGACTCATGTAAAAAATGGGCGAAATCCATTTTATCTGACTCACACCACCACCCTCTTCATTCACAACTCTCCCCTTGTATCTCTTCAGGGAAAACCAGAAGCCTTTATAGAAAACTATATGCTCGCACTAGCAAGTACAAAAACTCAACCATACTCTACTTAGCTCGTGTTGTGTGCGATAAAGAAAGCATTAAGCGTGAAACCTTTAACTTATTAAATAGTCAGTAGAACAACTGGATCTCTTCTTTCCAACTCATATCATTTATAGGTACAACGTTTTCTTTCTTTCTTTTCCTTTTCTCTCCCTCTTTTTTTCTCTGTTATGTGCTCCTTTGTTACTTTCTTCTGATTACGCCAGTAAATATGCAGACATCTACTTTTCTAACAACACCTTCAAACGCTCAGTTCAATTTTTACCTTTGCTACCGACATGCTAATATGTTGTTGTCAAAACTAACTGAAATTACCCATTATCTATGTAGAATTTTATTTTATTATTAATTTACTAACTGGATGCAATATTGTAGTAAAATGCTGAGAATTCCATTCTGTATCACAAGTACTGTTTTGGAATAAAGCTATTATTATCTTAATCTAATGATGCATTTTAATACCAATTTTGGTAGACATAGTGAATGACAGCATCTTGAGATTGATTCACTACCTGATCATTACAGAGAAATGAGTAAAATAGAAGTAGACAATAAATCGATAAAGTTGCAGAGAAACTGCACTGTTATGTAAATAACTACTATTTCCATGTGAATACAAATATTTAACTCTGACTTTCGAATAAAAAAAGTTACTTCTGTATATTTTTGATTGCATCATACTGTTTATGTCTGTTTATTATTTGAAATGTATATGTATTCACGAATTCACTCCCCGAGGTAGCTTCTAAGGAATTCGATACATTAAGCAAGAACTTGCATTATAATAATTCTTTTTGATGAACACACGTTTGTGTTTTTGTAAAATAGCTAACTGATCAATAGAAATGAAGTTGTTAGAGGGTAGGTATTATCATCATCATCATTATTATTATTATCAGTTGGCTATCGAACAAAAAAAAACAGAAAATAAGTGTACAGTATTTTACACATGAAAAGACTCAGCTTATCTACTTTGTTTATATGCAAATGAGTAATTGCATGTGTGTGTGTGTGTGTGTGTCAGGTTGGCTTACTTAACCAAAGAGAATTACAGTTTCGTCTTTTTTTTTCTCTTCTGTCTCCGGTCTATCTTGTTTTAGCGAAAAAAAAACAAAAACAAAATTACAATTCTGTAGGTATTATTCAAGGTATCTAGACAAGCAGTCAGCAGTATTCAGCTGAAATCATCTCTTATTAGTGATCTGATCACGTTGAATGCGCGTCTTCTTCTTCTATTCATTGTGTGAATGCAAGCAGTAATTATTATGTAGAAGAAATGATTAGTGCATAAAATTCATCTGTAGACACCTGAATAACAAAAATCAATTTGTACAAAGACTACAAAAAAATAAATAAATAAATAAATAAAATAAAACACAGAGAAAAGACACGAAAACTATTTATAATCACGTAAAATAAGATGTATAAATAAAGGTGTGTAGTAATTTGCTAATTGCACACATTCTAATGCAATATAGAGTATATAGAGTAAGTAAGTAAGCAGTATTTTTTATATCTCGATATTACGTTAATCATTTGCATATCGTACAACTTACGCTACTACTAGCAAATTCTCTTTTCACACTGTTGTAGTTGACTATATCAGAGTTAGTATTGTCTCGGAGAGACTATGATAAGTGAGTGAGTGTGTATGTATGTTCCACACTGAAAATAATCAAAATCTTATGAAACTAGTATTTATTTTAAATGTGTTTGTTTCGGAATTCATGACTGTGATTAGCATATAACCATTATTTTCTTATTTAAGACATGTCTATTTATTATTATTATTAGTATCGCGAAAGGTGTTGCATTAAGTTACATAACCCAAGTATACTATTGTCGAATCAACCATGAATACTAACTTTTTCTGTTGTTGATAAATTACATTATAAGTTACAATAAATATGTAAAAGGAATGGAACAGTTTAAATACATTAACTGGAAGGAAAAAGGAAGACAGCTGTGGTGTAAACATTCTAGGGGAAATAAATTCATCCCCAGTCTAACAGTCCATTACTATTGTAATTCTGACTTATATTCTTCATGAATATTGCTTATATTTATGATGATTTGTTGTTAAAAATATAAAGTGTAGCTAATGGCTAAGACCTGAGCTTGGTTTGGAGCTGATAAGTTACAAAGATCATGATAATAGTGTCCGTTTCTATAGGGGTTTGTTAAATACTGAGCCTTTTGAAACCTGAAGCACTTCACAGATGTTACATGATATCATCATGAGCTTACATCCGTTAGACAACAATTGGAAAACCACGGAGTACTGGACAGCTGTTTCGTCCTAGTTTGTGACTCTTCATCAGTATGCACCCACCAGCAGGGTTCGAACACAGGACCTTCTGGTTACAATGCGAGCTCATAGACCATTCGGCCACTGCTACCTGATCCAGTGGCTCGTGAATTCCAGCTTCTGCCAATTCATGATATGGCGTGACCACTAGCCAGTGTTATCAGCAAATATCTCTCCTCACTCGAAGCGAAGTTTTTGGAACGGTTAACTGGTTGATTTTGTGAATTAGGAAGGACAGTGAAAAGATGTATTCCACAAATAGTAAATTTCTTAGAGCATTTTGTTCGTAGAAACACCTAGAAAACATTGAATATCGCTGACTTAAACCTCAGGTGACATGTCCTAGGAATCAGAAATATATCACCTTTTTGTTTTCCTCGAAGTCCTGATATTTAGTACTTACTTCGTTGCTTGGTCACAAGTAAACATTTTGTTTGCTCAGTTAAAAAAAACCTTTTCCCCTTTACATATTAGTTGAGTTACCTTTTTCTGTTCTGTTAAAAGCTGTTGCAGCAACACCTTCAACCTACACTGACGACTAAATACCCTCAAACGTCAGTTCAGAGTACACTTCTAACTCCCTATCTAGATAACTACGTATGAACATTTATTGGCGTCTCTCAATACTAGTTAATTGATTTTAAATTTACACCTTAAATGCTCTCGAACGGCTTGAAAATTAGAAATTTGGTAACACCCTGAATCTTCCCTGTAGTTAGTTACTTTTTCTGCATCCGCAAAGTAGTATTAGGGGTTTGTTTAACTTCAGATTTGAAATATGTCGAGTGATACTTTTCCTCATCCAGGAAAAGTAATTTTAACTGTGTCTAAATAATTACTGGAGTGAAAGAAAGAACCTGAATCACTGCAGAATTCGATCCCTCATCGCCAGAATGGTAAGTCCAGTGGGTGGACAATGCACTATCCAGTAAATGATTTTGTTGTCTAATGATAAATCAGAGGATGAAAATGATTGGCTGGTTTTAGTTGTTTATCTTCTCTTACAGAAATCTTTATAAGACTAGTTAAATACTCAATCATATAAAGCTCAGCAAGACAGGCTTTCATTACTCTTAAGTCTGTGTGGAAGTCAAAAGCACTTAGCATCAAAAATAAGGTCCGGATTTTCAACTCCAACGTAAAATCAGTGCTTCTATACGGATCAAAGACTTGGCGAGTCATAAAGAGCATTTCAAACAAACTTCAGACCTTCATCAACAGTTGTCTTCGCTAAATACCACTCAAGATCAGATGGCCGGCGAGAAAGGATCAGCAACAGGGATCTCTGGCAATCAGCAAACCAACCACGAACCGATTGTGAAACAAATAGGCAGGAAGAAATGGAGATGGATTCGCTGGCCATACTCTGAGAAAACGAGCCATCAAGTGACAACACTAGAAAAGCCATTGCTGGAGTGGAACCAGAAAGGGAAACGGCGAGTTGGGCTTCAGTGTGAGGGTGACTTGGAGGAGGTCATGCGAGGAGGAGATGAAAGCATGTGGGCAGACTTGGAGCGGAGTGAAAAAGTTGGCAGAAAACCGAAGGCAATGGAGAGGCGCAGCTGAAGCCCTATATTCCTCTAGGAACTAAAGGATATAATAATAATATAATAATCAGCTATATATTCAAAACGAGGTTATAATTCTCTGTCGACTGAGGTGATTGGTAAATAGGTTCCATATACCTAGTAACCATCACTGTTGAGGAATTATGTTAATATAACACGCTAGCAGCAATTAGTGATATAAGAATAAAACTTGTGCGCTGTGGCAGAGTATAATTCCATTATGGGTAAAATTTGTTTTGATAAAGTCTCACAGTATTATACAGTAATGTTTACTGATTACGATTCGACAACAATTTATTGCTCATAATCATATCAAGACACCACTCACACAACTTTCTAATGTGGATGTCACTTTCACACACATTGTTAAAAACAGAACATATCCCTTTCCAGCTTCTTAACTCACATATAAACTCACTAGTAGAGGGAATAACATTCACATTTGAATCGGAAAATGAACAAGGAGAATTAGCTATGCCAGACTGTAAAATAAAACGAATGGAAAAAGGTAAACTGCACAATAGCGCTTATAAGAAACCAACTCGTTCTAATAGATACTTAGACTTTAATTCGTCTCATCCGTTGTCTGTAAAGGTAGGGTCAGTTAAGTCTCTAACAAACCGAGCAATAGCACCAAGTAGTACAACAAAAAACCTAATTGATGAAATGAAACAGATAGAAGAACAGTTGGTTTGTGTTAATTAACTATCCTATAAAATTCATTGTGAAGATCACAAAAGATCAGAAGCAAAATAAAAATCATGTTGAAACTAATAATGAAAACATAAATGATAGAGAATATAAGGCATCTACAGTTTTACCACATAAGGAAGGGAAATCTGAGATCCTATGTAGGATTCTTAATAAGGCAGGAATTATAGTGGCATTTAAACCTACAAACTCACTCAGATAGGACAGGATCTGTAGGTTAAAGGACCCTTGCAGTGAGTGTGTGTGAGGTCAACTACACAGGTCAAACACAACCACACATTAGGGGGAGGAGAGGGTTAAAATTCTAAAGAGTAATCTAGGTAGGTGGAGAGAGAGGTTAGTTACTGAATCCTTGTTCATAGAGTCTACACCCAACACATGCAATAGGAATGACCCATTACTCATACTGGAAATATGGGGAATATTACTACCAATCAAATCAAGCTATGGAAAAATAATGAAATTATGTAAACGAAGTTAGGAAGTTGTCTGAGTGGTGTCTTGATATGATTATGAGGAATAAATTGTGCTCGAAACGTCATCAGTAAACATTACTGTACACCACTGTGAGACTTTATCAAAACAAATTTCACCCATAATGGAACTGGCAGCGATTACGTAATAAAATAACAACCGTCCATGAAACCGTTTCCTGACTATTTAAGCTAGGTAGGAAGGTATAGTCCTCAATAAGTTAAAAACAGTTATTTGAGGAGTCTCACTAATTCCATCAAATATTTTCATAGCGGTAGGGATATATTTCCTTTTTACTCTCGAGATTTTAGGAATTCTCATCAGTTTCGTAGACTGATGGGATTTAGAATAGTAGTAAATTCTCACTTCACTTGCAGAAAATGTCACTTCATTCCACTCTATTCTATTTCGTTTTCTGTTTCTTCTTTCGAAATTTAGTAACTGGGATTATATGTAAAGAATGTGAAAACAAAAACCGTCTCAAGCCACAAATAATCATTTCCAAGGGTAGATAAGTCTTTATTTAAAAAAACAGGGGTCTGAATGCCTGAATTGCGCTTCTCTATAAAAGAACATCACTTATCTTTTGGGTATAGAAGTTAGACACTGTACATTTAACTCTCATGATATCAAAGTTAAATGAGTATTACAATACGGCTTACCTAATCTGCGGTGTATTAATTAATGTTAACAGCTCAAATAACCAGTCAGTCACCTTAGTCTTGTTCATCTACTCTTTCTAAGTAAATAATTTTCTACATACAGTTTTTTTCCAAAATGTCTTTGTTGAATAAGTGTTATGGACAATAATTCATTACTATATGATGCCTAACATCTTAGCTAATAATTGAAATCCAGTATTATTCAACCACTAAGGTGTGCGAGTTGACGTCTTGTTTCATATTGCTAAAACCTAGCCAACTGTAAATTTTCATTTGATTTTTCTAAAAGCACGAGATTATTTACAGGATTTCATCATGAGCTGACATTGGTTAGAGAACCATTGGAAAGCCTGGGAGTACTGGACAGCTGTTTCGTCCTAGTTTGGGACTCTTCAGCAGTACGCATCCAACGGGATTCTAAAGAAGTAGTAGAGGAGTAAACAGTGAAATGACTCATATTGACACATATGTAAACTCTAATTCACTTGTAGGAATTATCGTGGATACATTCACTTCTGAGTGTTCTTACAATTTCTTTTACTTATAGATTTTACCCAATCACCTGAAGTAACTAGATGATAAACATTTGTTCGAGGAAACGTTGAAATATCTTAAAGCCACTGAAATGAACTAAGATTTAATCAGGTCGTAGTTATATACAAAACTATAGGCGGAGAAAAATGCCAGGTTGATCGGTACAGTTCACCCAGTTGGATTGAGTCATGCAGCTCCTGTTTATCAGGCATATTAAGCCACAAATTTGTTCTAATTACAACACCTAGCGAAATGAGTCATAAATAAGTATAAGGAGAAAGAAGTACCTATTAGGTGTTAGACACTACATTTATTGAAATACAACATTCCTGGTAGTTTTGGTCTTGTAGGATGGTGTCGACCATCTGGCTGAGAAACAGTTGTTGGAGAATGCTCGTGTTACAGTTCAAAATCTCCAATGATGCATACATATGCATACCTTTTCATCATCTTGGTTTTGGTGATCTTTACTAATCTTCAGCTTATTATTCTTTGTTTCGTACATAATTAGCATTATAGTCCCAATAAATGTTTTTCTTTACCCTCATGTGAGCTTTTTCGAGATGTGTGGCAGTTTCAACTGATGCTCCTTTGTACAAATTTTATCACTTATAAGTTAGTTAGTTAGTCAGTTCCTAGTCGCAAAAATATCAAAAATCCGTGAATAACAGTCTGAATTAAATTTTCTCAAAATCTGCTGCAATTTATCCTCTTAAGCTTTGTATATTCTAATATTTCTATCCCCCATCGTCATGAATTTATTGAGTTAGTGTATGAAGAAAATTTTTGATCCTGTAACTCATAGGATCTTATGTCTGGTTTAAGTGTATCAGTGCAGTTCTAGACCCTGGTGGCACAGTGCTAAGGTGGCATTAGATTTTATAAAGTGAACTGCAGGGAGTCTTCAACAAACTTTATTGTCTGTTATAAAGCCACATCAAGGCGTTTCTGTATTACAGTGGACTCTTTAACTTTCATCCAGACGATACTTACATTGGAATATTAAAGAGCTTAAGGTCTCATGTCTAAGGAGAACTACTTCATTAAGTGAGTTTTTTTTCGGTTTGCCGATTTATCAACCTTTTATGCCATTTTCCAATTGCCTTTCACTCTTCTCACCTGTTATTATATCTTTTCACAGGTGTATCCTATCTGCTTTGAGGCAAATACTGATGATTAAATGCTTATGAGTTTTCAGAAGCTTACATCTGTTATTCCGCTAACTAATTTTGCCAGAATGTTCGGACTACCTAAGTTTTTCTAATTAAGATCTTAAACATACTCTTATGACTTGCGTATGTTACTTAATAGTTGAACCTTTTTTCATAATTCGTAGTTTCACCCATCGCATAATTGAAAAATCAGTAAATCCATGTTATTTTATTTGCTCCGATATTCATGCAAGGTTCAATTTTTCCCTCTGTATCTTGTAGATACGTATATCGATGGTTCAAAGATAGAAGTTACATGGGCAAAACCTGTCGATAAAAATGAAGTAAATGCACGTCAACCACCTTCTCGAACCTCTGGAAAATTAATGAACGAATTGGTTTTGACAAAAGATCAGAATATCGCCGCCGCCGCAGCAGCAGCTGTTGTTGCAGCTGGAGGTATTTTGCCTCAATTGGAGTCGGCTACACAATTCTTTCTACCAACTGCTGGACAATGCACCCAAATGGCTACTGACCTTTTGTCGATAAATCCCAACTCTATCACCTCTGAACGAACAGATATCAATCTTGGAAGTCCTAGGTGAGTGCTAATTCATTCTACTTTATTCTCAGTTAGATGTGCGTTAGTTTTCTACATGTAATATTCAAAATTAAATATGTAAAACAGACATTATGTCTAGAGGTTTTCTTGGAAACTTCGCGTCTACTCTAATTTATTTTACCTCATAAACTAACCTTACAAAATGAAGAGGTTTAAAAACTATAGAGTCAGTTTGCTTACATTTTGAAGACAGTTAAGAGAAATTTATTTCATTTCATAGTTCACATCGTCTTAGGTATCCTTCAGTTTGAAGATTTCGTCGATATTTGCTTCACTTAACTTCCTTTGGGGAGACTATTTCATGATGAAAAAGTTTCTTTGTAAGGTCTTAACTTGTTAATAGTATACATTAATTCACACTCCAGATGAAAATATATTAAAATTATTAGCTTATCACTTTACTGTTAATTTGAATAATCAATACACAGTCTTCATAATTTCATTCTGGAAGCTAGTATTCACCGGTGAATTCAGCCGTGAGGATTTAGAGATACTTCAATCGTCCAACAGTAATTTATTTATAAAGAAAAGGAGTTTTCATAAATATATATATATCATTCACTTCCTTTGCTCCTTAAGAAGACATAAACGCCAAAAATTCATTTACTTGGGTAGGTACAAAATAAATCATCAACCAGCAGAGGATATTTGGGACCAACATCTTGGATTAGGCTTTAGTGGTCTCGGCTGAAATCTGTTTTTCCAGACAAATAGAACAGTTGTCAGACATGTAGAAAATACAGATCTAGGAATGCTAAATAATACAACCAGCCAATCATTATTTAGGTGTATTCAGAAGATTTTCAAGCTAGTAATTTAAAAGTCATCTAGTTCAAATTTGAAGGCAACCCAATTTGTCATTTTATTTTAAATCATCCATCCCCAGGGCTAGTTTAGAATATCTTTTAGACGACTTAATTATAGCTAGGAATAAGGTGAAAGTTAACTATTACTATTGGAAATGAGATAATTCTTCCAGTACACACTCATAAATTAGACTTAAAACAGTGTCCTTAGACATTTGTGTGGGTGGCTTTTGTATTTATATGTAAGAATGTTCAGCTCTATTTAACTTCACTAAACTTTAATACTAATTTATTAGCGGTATGAAAATGAACTGTACAAGAACTGGTCGAAGAAATGCAGCTGGTAGTCGAAGCGCTGGAGCACAAAAGGATCGTAAACATCCAGTAGAAGTGAGTAGTAAAAATTGTTTTGTTTCGGGAATCTAACCAGCAGAGTTTTTGTTCTTTATTAACATGATTGCCTATTTCGATTTCTTGGGTTCATAATTTCATTTTTTTTAACAGAAAATTGTAGCGATGGTAAAATTTAAGGAGATATGAGTTAGGTGGACTCAGAAGATTAGTTATGCGCACGTACATTATAGTGCTACTGTATTTGATATTGGCATGTACATTATTGATAAAGTTTAGAGATTCCAGACTCAGTATATTCCTTGATTAATTGGCTACTTGGATATAATAAGCTTCATGATGTTTAGTTTTAAACATTCTCTGAATTCTGTCATTTAGAAATATAGTGTGATCATTAATCTAAGAGACTGATTTTACATGGTTAGAGGTGATCAGTTAGTCTCGAGATATGTCTTCTTTAGATGCTCATTCATGGCTTCCAGATGAACTAGATTTCGGAAGAAACTTCTCCGTGCTATAATTACTTTGCATGCAAATAAAAAAATGCATCGTTCCATTTGCTTCATTTATCTTTCAAGACAGTTGCATCTCGGGGTTAGTATTTTCTAATTAAGCCTAAAAACATCTGCGGTCAGTGTGGAGCTGGTTGGAATGTGTAATCAGCTGGGCTCTATTGACGCTTCTTACTTATTAGTTGGTAATTCCCAGTAATGTTTGCATCCGTTTTCTACAGACGACATTTTAGACTTTATGACATATTTTTAGCTAACGATAATCAGATAATGATTATAGTGGAAGTATATTCACAAATTATTGCTCTATACACTGAAATGAACAATACAAAGTATGTCCGATGACACTGATGTTTTGTTTTAAAACAATAAATAACTATGTAGGTCTTTGCCGTTTATTTAAACAAAATGTTTAACTATAAATGTTTTTCTATAGATTATTCATTGTTAATGCGATTATTGACAACAGAATTAAACATAAAGTAAACTCTCCAAATGCATCCCGACACTCCCGCCCCCCCCCTCCAACAAACACACACACATTTTACACTACCTAATTTTATCATGAAGGGTTATATGACTGAAAGGCTGTATTGAAATTCTCTATCTAAATATATCTAACAAACTGTTGTGTTTGGTTGGCATTCGAAACTACTGGATGGTATATATATTTTGTTAATTGTTTCGAACTTCATTGAACCAACTAACTAACTAACACATTTAGAAATTACATGTAACAATTTGTACAGTTTTTCAGTTTATATCAAACAGTCAGTGCAACAACACTTCAATATATATATATATATATATATATATATATATATATAAACTATTAATGTAAACAATTTCAGTGTTATAACCGATCGATTATAAACTAATAGCCAACGATGATGTTTACAATTCAAACCAGCAGTAATAATTATACTGATGACAGGTTTCTATCCTTCTGTAAGGCATAAACACAACACATTTCATAACTATCTATCATACATTATTCAATCTATAATAATAATATTTGTATTTCACTAATTAAAAACAATAGCATCAACAAAATAACAATGAAAGTTTAACATACCTAAGGTCGTCGGTATCTAATGTGTGATTCATCGTAACTGTTTAAAAAATTATCACTGTCTGTAAAAACGTAACTCGTGACGACTATTCGTGTCCATCAAGGATGCCCATTATCCCCTTTTCTATTCAACTTCATCATAGATGTACTAATGGACTTAACCCTAAGTGACTTCAGCGACTCAGAGATTGACTTGCTACCAGGGAATAATCTCGTTGACTTAGAATATGCAGAGGATATAGTTCTTCTAGGCGAGGACGCTGACGAAATGCAGAGTCTTCTAAACACCTTGAGCCGCAATCTACGAATGTTTGGCATGCGATTCGCTCCCGCCAAATGCAAGATGATGTTACAGGGCTGGACTGCAGCGACTCCTAGATTAGAAATAGGGAGTGAAGTGGTAGAGCACGTTGACCGCTTCACTTATTTGGGAAGTACCATCAACCAGTGCCAACTTGTTGATCTCTGACGAAATTTCAGCACGGATACAGAGGGCTGGTTTCGCATTTTCCAGTTTACGCCGTCTCTGGCGTACACGAGATATCCTACTATCGAGCGAAGGGCGGGTGTACTGCTCATCAGTTCGCTCCGTCCTCTTTTAAGGCTGTGAGCGATGCATGGCTATTAAGAGTGGAAGACATGAGAAGGTTAGCTGTCTTTGATCATAGGCACCTACATTCTATCTCCCGTGTGAAGTGGTATAATAAGGTGAGCAATATTGAGGTTAGGCATCGGTCGAGTTCTAGGTAAACAGGGGAAATCAATCGACGAAATTGTGAAGTTACAAAGACTGAGATGGTTAGGACATGTGTTACGCGTGCATGACTAGTCATCGCCTTCCTCGACGAGCAATGTTAGCGGATATAGGGTCAGGATGGAAAAAATCTAGCGGCGGTCAAACAAAAACTTGGCACCAGTCAATGAAATCTACAACAGTTAGTTTAAGTCACGTAGGAAGGTATAGACTTCCTGACTGGTTGGGGTCCTCAGGACGGTAAAAATCTATGGTTGGAAACAATTGGTGACAGGGCTCAAAATCGTTCTCAATGGCTAGTGCAGATGCATCCACTCCTTGTGACTTATGATTTCCAATGAAACTATATCGTTCTTCGTTATTACTCTTCCTTTGTCTCACATCTCTTTTTACTGTCTCTAATGTGCATTTCTTCTACTTTCTTTTGTTGCTTTGTGTTCTACATGGAGTGTGGCGGCTTGAACTGCCACACATCGGTGGAAAGTTCTATGTCGAAAACAGACAGACTTTTCCATTTATTATTCAGTATAATTGGATAATTTTAATAAACAGCCTGGAAATGTGCTCATCCACTGATTCTTAGATTTCACAGTGTGCATAGAGTTCATTTGAATAACGACATAATGCTACACTGGTCTAAAATTCATCTCATACAGGAAAATAACTGAAGACACCTGGATCTGATCAAGTGAAGATAAAAGAATAGACCATAGTCTAACGAAATTATCAGCATACACATGATTTCTTTATGTTTTACAAAGGATGCATAGGTGTTTCCAGTAGTTAGTGCTTTTCTAACATCTGATTTTCATTTTCGTTTGCTCATATCTTAAGGTAGTTGAGCTGGTCTTCACAAAACTTCTGTATTAGACTGTTAAATGTTCTTTCTTAGTTGTTTGATATCCGATGAAATGTTTGTGAAAAGTGTATGATTCTCCAAAATCACCGAAGATTAAAGAATACCTTTCAGAGATAGTATTGTCTGTGAATTGTTTCACTGGTCTGTAGATAATCATTTAAGGTCTGTTGGTCACCACACACTGAGGATTACGATTCTCAGATTAATATAGTGCTGATACATATCAATTTTTATTACTAGGCAGGATTTGAATGTAGAGTTTTCATTTCAAAGACATCATTTTCAAGTAATAAGATACATATTAAAGTTTATCATATGGAATGAGTTATTCTGATTGGATACTAGTAACTAGTGTGACGTGTCTAGTCCTTTCTTTGGTGCAGGCTGAATTGTATCAGTCAGGTTTGTAATGTGGCCACCATTCTAGGTAGCTCGCCATCAAGATGCACATTGATTTGATGATATTAGATAGTTGGAGGCAATTGGCCACAGGAAGCCTTGAACCTAGGTTTCGTGCTAGTTGGCACTCGTCAAGGTTGCAGATACGCCTTGCTGACTGGTGCTTGCCAACTTTCACAAAACCTAGGTCCAAGGCTTCCTGTGGCCGATTGCCTCCAACTATCTAATATCGTCAGAATGAGTTATTGACAAACTTTTCTTTTATAGAATGTATGTGTGCACCACCTAAGTTCTAAATAGCTTTATTCTTTAGTTCTAAGTTAAGGTTATTCGTGTGAATTGTTTGGAAAATTCCAGATGAAAAACAAAATGAACGTTGTGTCTACATGAATTATTGGGCTTTTATTTTTACGTTTCTTCCCTCATTCATTATCCTTTTTTACTGGTATAACTAGCAGGGTAAATCCTAATCTGAGAATATTTCTTTGAATTTAATTCACTGTATTACTGCATTCTTGTATCTCCTATACTGCTGTAGACATGGCTGTTTCAGTGACCACTTTTTTCAGAGTATGACGTTCAGGAGAAGTTTATAAGACGTTTTAGAAAGATCATGAAGAGCTGTAGTATTCTGACTGGCGCCATTAAAACTAGTTTAGCTCCAATGTATTAACTTTATCTAGAGGTTAGATTTGACATAGCCAGCCAACGCACTCCGTTAACTCCCTGAGCCAGTAATAAGCCTCTAGCTTGAAGCCCTACGTTCCTCTGGGGACGTAAAGAAATAAAATAATGACACTCGAGGGGTAATGAAGAGCAGCTAATCATGGCCTTCTGATGGGTGTTCTACTGAGAAAAGCCACACCTATTATATGAGTGGAATAATTCACAATGCAACAATACAGCGTTCAGGTTAGAACTGATTAAATTTTATCAGATATCTAAAGGTACTTCCTTTTTTGAATATTTTAAGTCACAAGAAATACCTTACCTTCCTACATAATACATAATTTAAAATAGAGCCTCAATGCATCCTTAAAAATCTCTCTGTTTTTAAAAATTTACTTCTTAGAACGTGTTTGTTGTAGAAATTTATTGATTCAGCGTGTTGAACAGGTGGAGACGGAGAGATGAAATTATTGACTGTATACATTTTGTAGTAACTTTTTATTCCATCTCATATTCTGTTTTTGCTAAGATTGGTGCCGTAAGATATGCGAACTAACATCAAAGCTATACGCGTATTATCAAACCGGAAATGAACAACATTTATTTATGTCATTTATGCAAACTGAATAAACTATAAATAAATGACTGAAACGTTAGTTGGAACATTTAAGGGTAGTAGACAGTAATCGAAATGTAAACAAATCATCAGTCTTTGTCAACACAAAAAGAATAGTGGTTTGAAAGATACGAAAAGGTCTTAATAGTAATTGTAGT